ACCCCCAAAGGCTCGATTCCAACTCTTCAGTGTCTCATTCTGCTCTGTGACCCACGCCAGGCCTAAAGAATCTACAATTGCTTCATTCCTCCAATTTTCAGTCTACCATTGGCAATCATGCCCACAGCTGCCTGGGACATTTCATCTGGAAACTCAGCCCCAAACCTCTTCACCTTTCTCCTCATACAAGAAACTGCTGAAAGCGTTCCTTTTGCTGGCTGTGCTGCTCTGAAGCACTTTAGGATATTTTAGTATGGTAAAGATACCTTATAAATGTAGGCAAGGGCAAAGTAGGAATAGCACAGTTTCCCAGGGTCAACATAAAACACTTATATTGATAAGCATTAAAATTCAGGTCATAATGCAGTTACCTTGGCCCCAAGCATGAGAATTCCATACTGTCACCGTGGTGTCTTTCTACCTTACTCTTTTCAAACACTCCTTAAAGCCTAACTATTTGACCAAGCTTTTAGTCATCCAACTTAATATTTATTGCCTTATGTGGCTCAGTGCCATACTGTGTTTTGTAATGTGCCTTGGGATATATCATTATGATAAATGTATTGTAGTACCTAGTCTCTTCAGCTGACAAACAACACTAACCTACTCCATGTCTTAGGCTATAGATCATGAATCAATACTAACCGATAAAATTAAACAGAATTTCAACTGTCACTGGATTACGGTAAAAATACTGATTTCAACCCATTTTGAGAATAGGATCTCAAAAATGTAATGTTCGGAACCTGGAACGTGTCTATTAGAAGACACTTGTAAGGAAATATGTATATTAGTGACTGATTCCACTGGCTTCACATAACTCAATTACCAAGATGTCAGTTTTGACTCAGGTGTAGCACTCTCAAAGTCAAGAGGGTTGTAGGTTCAGGTCGTGCTCTAGAGACTTGGACATAATCTACATTGACACATCAATACAGTACCGAGAGAACACTGCACCTTTGGAGGTGACAGCTTTCTGATGCAGATGGTTAACTAAGACTCTATCTGCCCCACAGGATACATGCAAAATTGTTTCCGCATTCACTAAAGCGACAGCAATTATACTTTAATAGTAACTCATTAAAGAGCATGGCAATTGTCATCAGCGTACTGATTGGAGCATTGACTTCCATTTCTGCCATGCATGGGCTTCAAAGGTCCATGTAGCTGGTATGAAGATTAGAGGGAACGCTGTCTGGGATGCCCAAACAACTCAACAAGATACTATATTAGGTTGCAGTCTATAAAGTCTATGCCATTTGTTGCTCACAATGCAGTCTCCTTTACAATGGCGAGACCAAATGCAGACCACCTCTGTTCTGTCTGTAGAAATGACCCCAACCTTCCAGCCCCTTGCCATTTCAATAAGCTACCTTGCTGTCATGCTGACATCCGTCCTGGGCCTGCTGCAACGTTCTAATGAAGCACATCACAAGCTTGAGGAACAACATCTCATTTTTCATGCAGGAGTATTTTTTTCATCACAAGTAGTGACCAGAGCATTGGCTAAAAAAAGTTCATCACTGGAGGTCACAATAATGCTGCAATCAGATGGTGGGATAGCTGAAATTCTATTTAAGAGTTAGGATAGTTCAAAAAGTGTTTGGCATGCCCATGTTTCTAGAAAGACTCACAGAAATACTCTTGTGTTATTTGTATGCTCCTATGTTTCACAACCAAGAATGGGCAGATAAACGTTCAATGATAAGAATGTTTCAAGTGAGAGGCAGAGGACTGATATTGTTGCCTTTGTAACATGAACCTCAAAGCAAAATTCAATGGTTCACACAAAGTAGTTAAGAGGACTAATAAAGCAATTTATCTAATAAATACTCTTGATTGTAGGAAGAAAAATCAGTTATAGCACATAAACATGCTGAAAATGTACCATTGCAGGAAAGAGGATAAGGAGGAACAAGTGTGTTGGGTGGTAAGAGTAGTGGGAGATGACAGAGACAAGACAATAAGAGTGAGGTGGAAGGAGAGGTACACAGTTCTCAAAGTGAATCTCCTACAGCTTAACTAGCTAACATGGAAATATTGGGACAGCTAGAGTACTGTGTGCAGTTTTGGCCAGCATGTTACAGAAAAGAGACGATTACACTGGAGCGGGTGCAGAAACGACTCACTAGGCGATCTAATTGAGGTGTTCAAGATTTTGAGGGGCACAGACAAGGAGCAGCTGTTTCCTTAGTTGAAACAAAAACAAAGTTGCTGGAAAAGCACAACAGGTCTGGCAGCATCTGTGAAGGAAAAAGCAGAGTTAACACTTTGGGTCCAGTGACCCTTCCTCAGAACTGGGCAGAAATGGCATCTGATGATTTTAGATGATCTAAGATCCCCTTAGTTGAAAGATCTGTCACGAGGGGGCACGGGTTCAAGGTGAGGGGCAGGAGGTTTTGGGGAGAAGGGTGAGGTGGTGGTGTGTGCGTGTGAGGGAAAAAGCTTTTTACCCAGAGGGTGGCGACGGTCTGCAGTGCACTGCTTTGGAGGGTGGTGGAGGCGAGTTGCCTCACACCTTTTTAAAAAAAAGTACCTGAATGAGCACTTGGCACATCACAACATTCAAAGCTATGGGCTGGGTGCTGGTAAATGGGATCAGGTTAAAGATCGGGTATTTCTCATGTGTCGGTGCAGACTCAATGGGCTGGAGGTCCTCTTCTGCACTGTGTGATTCTATGATTGAGTCAGACATTGCGCTCTTATGTTTGGAGAAAGGACAATGGCAGGATCTTGTGAGACAACTGAGTAAGTATAAGGTAATCTGCAGAGATACAACTGGATGCATTCCACTTGCTAGACATGATATTGACGTAGGAGAGTCAGGACAGATAGAAGAAACATGTTCAGCTAGAGACAGAGATTCAGGACATGCTAGAAAACCATTTGATCGAACTAGTTGAAACATCTAGAGCTCACCACAAATGTTAGTTCCTAAACTAGATGGATTACATAGACTCAATATTAATTATAGAAAGGTAAATGCTGTCACAAAGACAGATTTGTACCCAATGCCACTGTCAGAAGACTGCTTTGATAAGGTTGGCTATGCCTCATCCCTTTCTAAGATCAATCTTTTCAAAGGGTGTTGCCAAGTGCCAGGCACAGCAAGGGCTAAATAAGTATTCACTTTTGTAACACCAAACAGTTTATACCAATGTCGACTATCACATTTGGGTTAAATGACGCTCCAGCTACATTTGAGAGGTTTATCAATCAAGTCATAGCTGAGGTTTGTAACTGTAGTTTATTTCAACGATGTTGTAGTATATACAAATAGAGTGCACAGGGGACAGATAGAAGGCTTGTTTCAGCAATTATAGCTGGCTGGCATAGTAATAAATTTAGCCGATGAATTTGGGAAAGCAAGAGTAAATTACCTAGGACATGCCGCAGGACAAGGAAAATCGTTACCAAGGACAGTGAAAATGAAAGCTCCTGTAGAATTCCCCAGTTATAAACTGAATGAAAAAATCATGAGATTTTTAGAAATTTATGGATTTTACTAGAAATGTGCACAGTTTAGCATGAAAATTATGCCTTTAATAAATTTGTTAAAAGAATCAAGCAAAAGTGATATGATCAGAATGCCAAGCAGTCTTTGAGAAGCTGAAAACAATCCTTGTCAATGAGCCAGTGTTGACTGTCACTAACTTTTCTGGATCTCTCAAAATAGGGATTGATGCTAGTGACTTGTGGGTAGGTGCAGTGTTGCTGCAGCATGAATTGGGAATAGAAAAGCCTGTGGGATACTTCTAGAAGAAACTAAACCTCTGTCAGATGTAGTTGGCTAACGTAGAAAGAAACAGTTTGGAATTGTTGTTGGTTCTTCAATACTTTGGAATCTATGTCCAACACATGAACAAGGAAATAAATTTATACTGACCATAATCCATTAGCCTTCATTAAAAAGTTCAAAACTTAGA